ATCAGCTCGAACCAGTCTGGCCATTCTCCTCTGACCTCTGGCATCAACAAGGCATTTCCGCCCACAGAACTGCCGCTCACTGGATGTTTTTTCTTTTTCGGACCATTCTCTGTAAACCCTAGAGATGGTTGTGCGTGAAAATCCCAGTAGATTAGCAGTTTCTGAAATACTCAGACCAGCCCTTCTGGCACCAACAATCATGCCACGTTCAAAGTCACTCAAATCAACTTTCTTCCCCATACTGATGCTCGGTTTGAACTGCAGGAGATTGTCTTGACGATGTCTACATGCCTAAATGCACTGAGTTGCCGCCATGTGATTGGCTGCTTAGAAATTAAGTGTTAACGAGCAGTTGGACAGGTGTACCTAATAAAGTGGCCGGTGAGTGTATATATATATGTATGTAATATCTCTCTCACAGACGCACGTGTGTGTGTATACATGTATATTTAGTTGTAACTAATAAATAACTTATTGTAATTATAATGTAATATTAAATATCATGTATAATATATATAGTATTAGGGTTAGTCTACAGTAGTTATAAATGACTATTTCTAATTCTAAGTTTATATAATATGATATAATAAATATAATAATGATAATGTTTTGTTAGTCTATAGTAATTATAAATGATGTTGCAATTATAATGCAATATTAATTAAATATCATAATATATAATAGGTATGTTAAGGTTAATAATAATAATAACTTATTATTATTGTTATTTAAACAGTACAAATGTAGATATTTCTCATTTACATATCAATTTAATGTGTTTTATGTTCCCTGTTTTTTGTATTATACAATTAATAATATATAACATCTATATATACATTTAATATTTGACATTTAAAGGACTGGTTTAGGATATTTTGTGTGTGTGCACAGTTACTGTTTTCGGATGGTTGTGTTTAAATGTCCTGAGGCTGTGTTCCAGGCGCTGTTCATAGTTCATCATTTTCAGTCGTGCACTTTCCCCCTCTGAGCCCCACCCTGCTCCCCCTGAGGCATCTCTCCTGTCCTCCTCCCATCCATCCATTCTCCCCCTCCAGCCCCAGTTTCTCATCCTTCCCTTCACCTTCCTCTCCCCTGCCCTCCTCTCATGACTCCGAGGAAGAAACCGTAGGACTGAGGGAAGACTAGTCAGAGCTCACTCTTTGGACTCTTTCCTTTGTCTGAACTCAAAAAGTGTGAAATAAACTGAATGTATTAACTATGAAAAATAGTTGGTACAATATTGTTTTGTCAGAAGAACCATTTTACATGTCCAAAAATCACACTTTCATAAAAGCAACGGCCAGCTGTTTAATTGTTTGCGAATGTTTCTTAGTCTTCTCAAGTGTAGTCAGACCACAAGTGGAAAGATCCAGAATGTTCATTATAAAGTTGTCAAACAGGCCGACAGTGTGACCATATGGCCGTCAGAACAAGAGAGGCATTTCAACATGCTTGTAGTTTTAATATCCAATTTTAGAACAAGGCTGTTAAAACTTCCATAGCTGTGCTGAAAATGACATCTTCATCTTTCCAAGACCCTGTTCTAGTAAATCACTGTGTCCGTATATAAAATGAATTTCCCATGAAGAATTCAGAACAGTGGGATTTTTTTTTTTTTTTTTTTTTTTTTTTTTTTTTTTTTTTTTTTTTTGTGATTTGATTGTCCTGAGTGTAGTATAGTACCTACCGAATCTAGTAATGTGGTGTGAATATATAAATTTTTATGTTTGTTTTTCATTATTCAATGGTTATTCATTTTTAGTAGATAATTTAAAATAATTAAGCCAACAAAGTATAATTTGTGAGGTTAAATATCAACACCATTAAAACACCCAGACTCTCGTTTATCAGTAAATGATGAAAAAAGTTGTCTAATTTATTCATAAATCAAACTCTGATTATTTCTAATTTATTCCTGTGATGATGACACAGCTGAATTTTCAGCTTCATTACTCCAGTCTTCAGTGTCACATGATCTTTCAGAAATCATTCTAATATGATGATTTGTTACTCAAGAAACATATCTTATTATGATCAATGTTGAAACGGTTGTGCTGCTTAATATTTTGGTGGAAATTTATCCTTATTTTCAGGATTTTTATATATATATATATAGTATACATATATATATATATATATATATATATATATATATATATATATATATATATATATATATATATATATATATATATACTTCAAAAGAACAGCATTTATTTGAAATATATTTTTGTAACAAATGTATTTGCTGTCAACTGATTAATTTAATGCATCTTTGCTGAATGTGCTCAAGTGTTGCATGAACAGAACATGCATGAAATATCGCCATCTTTATTTTATTTTACTTTCTTGTAATGAATAAGATGGGGAAACAAAGTTGCAGAAGACCAAAAAAAATTATCATTTTAAACGTATATAATAATATTTTGTGTGTGTGTGTGTACACTGCATACTGTAGGTTGATGTCATTGTTTTGAATGGGAATTGCCAGCTGACTCGCGTTGCTTTGCAAGGTCTCACCTCTCGCGCAGAGAGATGTAAAGAAGTGTCTGCTGGAAGTCTAAGCACATCGAAGTGACATTTTACCTCATGGAAAATAAGATGAGGAGGAATATATATATGGTGTATCTGTTTCAAGAGACATTCAAATAAATCCGACTCAAATCCATATGCAGATAAGTCTAGCCTGCTCCCCAGCTGTTTCCTGTTACTGATTTCTCTCTCTCTCTCACTCACACACACACACACACACACACACACACACACACACACAAACACACACACGCACACACACACACAAAGCCTTTCCCGGTGTCAACGGCTGCTCTCTGTATTTCCACACTTGGCTTAACCCTGTTTTGTGAGCTCACCTTACCACCCACAACGAGTCTTTCTCTCTCTGTGTGTACTGTCCATTTGTTTGCGTGTACCATGTTGTTCTCACCGAAGTTGCACTTGTGATCTTTTAAGACATCCCTCTAGTTTGCAACTTAAAAGCCTTACAGAGATGTGTGTGGGTTTGTTTGAAAGTTTGTCTGAGTAACTTGTTAGTCACCCGAAAGTGCTTTTAGAAAGTCAGTCGTCCCTTTTCTGATCTCGCCCCTTGTTAAACTATGACTCTTCCAAACTGAGTAGGCCCAGGTTTTGACAAGCTCATCAGGCCATAAAGTGTGTGTGTGTGTGTATTTAGTCATGAGTGAGCACGTGTGTGTTGACTTCCAGTAAAAGGTGAGTGTTAGATGAAGCTACATGTTACACATACTGACTCATGTGTCGCTGCATGTTTCTCCATGTCTTAGAGGAGACGGCTGACTTGGAGATGAATGAGTTTGTGTAACACCGACTGAGCAAGTGTGCTTGTTGAGCAACAAGCCATGGGTTTCCTCAAACTTTCGGGAAGTGACCTCACACTGCCTCAGGCAACAGAGGCAGTGATATCATTGACAGGAAATGCCGTCAGGCACAAAAGCTGCGTGTGCTCTCATTGGGCAAAACCAACTAGCATATGTACAAAAAAATATTTTTGTTCACAATCATGGATTATAATATTGTGGGGAATTCCTGTGGTACAAAACTACTCCTTTTTGTGCTGTATTTTGTATTTTTTATTTTTTGTCGAGTGGTGAGCAATATTTATTATAACTGATTATTCTAAATGGAATGTTAATTGTTGTTGTTGTTGTTGTTGTACGCTCAACTAGCAATTGTATAAGGTAAAAAAAAAAAATCTTTATCTTTCTGCACTAAATATTCACAAACAAAGCTTCTCATATAGTGGGAAAGGAATTAATTTTTAAATAACCTGTGTGACTGATTGACTTCTGTGAAACACGAAAGGAAATATTTAGCAGAATGTTTAAGCTGTTTTGAATCCAATGAAGGCTGTCAAGCTCAAAAAGCACCAGAAAGTAGTTGACAACTCATGTTTAAAGTCTTCTCATGTCAGATGATAGGTTTATGTAAAGAACAGTCTGAAATTCACTGACAAGCCACTTTAGCTTAGCTTTCAGAGCTCATTTGCGCTTCCACATTCAAATTTAGCTTGACATTTTCAACACGTTTTTGGGTGAACTGTTCCTTTAAAGGGATACTCCACTTTTTTGGGAAATAGGCTCATTTTACAACTCCCCCAGAGGTAAACTGTTGAGTTTTACCGTTTTTGAATCCATTCAGCCGATCTCCGGTTCTGGCGGTGCCACTTTTAGCATAGCTTAGCATACATCATTGAAGTGGACAAGACCATTAGCATTTCTCAAAAAAAAAAAGACCAAAGTGTTTCGATATTTTTCCTATTTAAAACTTGACTCTTCTGTAGTTACATCGTGCACTAAGACCGACGGAAAATGTAAAGTTGCGATTTTCTAGGCTGATATGGCTAGGAACTATACTCTCATTCCTGCGTAGTAATCAAGAAACTTTACTGCCGTACCATGAGTGCAGCAGGCGCAGGCAAGGCGCAGGCAGTCCCGGTCACGTTGGAAGTTACCGAGCTGGGGACTATTTTCAGGCGCTGCGTCATATCATTACGCCTGCTGCACTGTGCACTCATGGTACAGCAGTAAAGTTTCTTGATTACTACGCAGGAATGAGAGTATAGTTCCTAGCCATATCAGCCTAGAAAATCGCAACTTTACATTTTCCGTCGGTCTTAGTGCACGATGTAACTACAGAAGATTCAAGTTTTAAATAGGAAAAATATCTAAACTCTTTGGTCATTTTTTTTTGAGAAATGCTAATGGTCTTGTCCACTTCAATGATGTATGCTAAGCTATGCTAAAAGTGGTACCGCCAGAACCGGAGATCGGATGAATGGATTCAAAAACGGTAAAACTCAACAGTTTAACTCTGGGGGAGTTGTAAAATAAGCCTATTTCCCAAAAAAAAGTGGAGTATCCCTTTAAGTGCATCAAAAAACTGTAGTACCAAGAGTAATGATGCAGTTTGATTGGTTTGTAATTGTAGAGGAGTTAATGAGTGATTTACTGTGCTCTGTCCCTCAGACGGAGGATTCTCCTAGTCCGAAGAGACAGCGTCTTTCCCAGCAGTCTGTCTTGGAGTTTACCTCGGCCCCTCCTTCCACACCCTCACCACCAATCAGACCATGGGAGCTTCCGCCCAGTCGCAGGCCACACCCCTATCCCCACCCACACTACCACCCCGAGCGCTGCCACACACCTGCACGGCACAGACGCAGGTATGTTGTGTGTTAGTTGACTGCAAGTACTAATTGCTGTAAGCTCATGCTGTGCTGTGACATTTGTCAGGTTTGTCTGTATAATGCATTGTTTCAAAGCAGTTTCAAAATGGATTGCTGTATTTTGAATTATATCAATTACTGTGCTGGAAAAAGACAAGAATTATGGGCTTTCATTTTAGTTCTTTAGTCCCTCAGTGAGCAATATAAATTCTAGAGCTGGTTATTAGAACTGAATAATGTAATATTTTTTTAATTTATTTAGTGAATGTTAAAGAAGGCTATTTTTGTACAAATAGATATTATTAAATGTATAAATAAACATTCAATACAGCCAGTGGATATATTATATTAAATACTATATCCACTGGCTGTATTGAATGTTTATTTGTTTAATAAAAACTATCTATACAAAATAACCTTCACGTTCACTAAATGTTTTTAAAAAAAAAAACTATTGTGATATGATATGAATGTTAATTAAGGCTGTTGTTTTAAAACACTATTTTTATATAAATAAACATTTAGTGCAGCCAATGGATGTATTATAATATAAACATATTACATTTAGTGAATGTTAATGTTTTTATTTTATTTACAAAATTGTAGGCCTTTTATATAAGCATTCAGTGCAGACATTATAAATAAATGTGACTCTTTCTGTGCAGTCCTCCAGTGCGGCGTCAGCGTGGCCGACGAGAACGCCTGTCACGGCACCATCCCCCTCATGGTTCCCCGGGTGGGGGGCAGGATGAAAACTACCGCCACCCTCCTCACCCACATTCTCTTCATCCCTACGGCCAGCCACCATCCCACCCTCCACCCGGCCTTGATGAGCCCCGGGCCTTTCACCCACCCACGCTCTCGCCGCGGTTATTGCACCCGCCGCAGCAGGGCGCCATGGTGATGGACCTCCATGAGCAGGTTAGAGGGTTGGGGCGGGAGCTCAGTGTTTCTGTGAGATCATAACGGGGCTTAGAGGTGCCCTAATATGGTTTCTAACTGAGAATATTAAGCAGACTATGATATCCTATATCCAGTGTTGGGGAAAGTTACTTTTGAAAAGTAATGCATTACAATATTGCGTTACTCCCTTAAAAAGTAACTAATTGCGCTACTTAGTTACTTTTTTAGAAAAGTAATGCGTTACGTTACTTTTTTTTTTTACCTGGGCTTGTTTTTTTGTTTTGTTTTTATAACAAAAGCTATATTTTAGGCCAAATGTAAAGACCCTTTCACACCAAAATTTAAATAAGCCTCAGGCTGAAGGAAATGCAAATTCACGTGTACAGTAGAGTGTGCAGCTCAAGCAAACCTTTCAGCTGTGCTGCCATTCTGGATAACAGAAGAATAGGATGCACTTACTTTACCAATACATTTTTTTTGTTGCATTTTTGCTTATGGTTTAGCTGAATCATAGAAGGTCAGAAGCAAGTACATTGGTCAATAAAGTGAGATTAAATGCGTAAAAAAGAATGTGTTTTATTTAACATATTTAGTTATTGGAGGTTTGCATAGTATTTTGATTCTGCATTTCACTGATTTCATTCACTGAGGAATATTGAATGTTTTTTTGTGTGCAAGTGAGATGAGTAAATGCACACTCACATTTAGTCTAGAACTACAGTAACATCATGTTTACACAACGCCTCTGCTCTTCGATTTGTCTCAACATGGGGACAAGAGAGCTGTCAGTCAATAAATGGGAAAACTTGCGTTACTTATTTGAAAAAGTAAAGTAACTCAGATATTTTGTTACTTTACTAGTTACTTGAAAAAGTAATCTGATTACGTAACTCAAGTTACTTGTAATGAGTTACCCCCAACACTGCCTATATCATAACTTTTTTGTGTGTGTGACGCGTACCCCCACATCTCTTGGAAATGTGTGCTGTTGTTTTTTCAAATCTCACGTCTGACGCCACTTGTCTCAGTTTCCAGGTCCAAACGATGTCAGATGTCAAAAGCAAACAACAAACAACAAACGGTGCTAATAAACACTCCCGCTATGCTGTAGTACTACCGAAAAATTATGATCATAACCTTTATCTCCATACCGAAATCTCAGATGGCCAGACAGTCATTCATCTTCTATGAATCGTTAAAATATTGGCGACTGGGTCACCGTGAGCCCAGAGACTGTAGTGTGTACACCGTGAGTTTTTAAAAGCTTAGCTTAAATGTATGATTTGAATAAATAGTGCTCATAAACAGCTGTTAAGATTCTCAATTGAAACAAGTAGTGGCTTGGACCCGAATTAACAAGCAGGTACTGATATCATTTAGCATTATCATTATTGAAGTGGCCATTTTTATGATGGTTGATTTTATAATTCAAACTTATTTGGGACGTTTGACAAAAGTAATGACTCTTTGTGTGTATATATATTTATTTTTATTGTTTTTGCATGCGTTTTTAGCTCCCTCAGGGTACGGTGCCGGTATCATATACAGTTTCTCCAGTGCCGCCCCATGGTCTACCCGCTCCCCTCTGCACAGGACAGCATCTCCCAGCATGCTCTTCTCAGCAGCAGGTCCCTGCCTGTTCTGTGGTCTTCAGCGGACAGCAACACTATCCAATCTGTAGCGTACCACCTCCAGTAAGTACATATCAGGGTGTGTAAAGACACAGCATCAATTTTTTGAGCACATTTGATTTGTTTGGATATGCTGCCTCCCAGTGGTAGGAAGTTGTTACATTCCTATTTTAATCCCTCAGGGTGCAATCTCCATTTGGAATGGCCTGAAATAATTTGTCTGCTTGTTTGTTTGACCTGCAGATGTTGCCGGCATGTTCGGTGCAGCATTTGCCAGTGCCGTACGCATTTCCTTCTCTTCTCTCCAGCGATCCACCCTTCCTGCTTCATCCTCCGCATCTGTCACATCATCCGGGCCACCTCCCCACTCCTGGACAGTTCTTACCCTTCCAGACACAACAGTCTCGATCTGTGAGTATGCAATCGCAATGCCCTCACAATGTTTATATTTATATTTTGATGTATTTAAGCTACCATTCAGAATTGTGGGATTTGTGCATCTTTTTGTTTTTGAAAAAATTCTCATGCTCACCAAGGCTACATGTATTTGATCACTTGCAGTAATATTGTGAAATATTATTACAACCTTAAATAGCTGCTTATCTATTTGAATATATTTAAAAATGTAATTTATTCCTGTGATGACAGCTGACTTTTTTAGCATTATTGCTCCAGTCTTCAATGTCCTTAAGAAATCATTCTAATATATTAGAATGATTCGGTGCTCAAGAATTTTTTTTTATTATTATAATTGTTGAAAACAGTTGTGCTGCCTAAACATTTTGTGGAGACCGTGATGATTTGTTTTTCAGGATTCTTTGATCAATATAGAAAGTTCAAAAGAACATTTTATTTATTTAAAATATAACATTTTTGTAACGTTATAAATGTCTTAAGTGTGTTTTTTTCTTTTTAATGCATCCTTGCTGAATAAAAGTGTCAATTTCTTTTTTTTTAAATGACTGACCTAAAAAAAATTGTAAATATTTATATTAATACTTGTATACATATAGTTTTTTTTACTATAGTTCTGCTACACTAACAAAAAAATACATTTTAAAAGTATTTAAAATATTAGTAGTAATGTTTACAGTACACATGTCGACAATCAGAAAATGAATAAATCCTGTTTGTTTGTTTTGGTGAATAGCCGCTGCAAAGGATAGAGAATGAGGTGGAGTTGTTGGGGGATCATCTGTCGGTAGGTGGAGGGTTTAACTATCCTCACTCTGGCCATCCTAGTCCTCTGCCCCCTTCCACCCCACTACAGTTCCTCTCCCATGAACCCCTGCACCAGGAGCTCTTTGGTGTGGTGAGTGATCTTCAAGCTTTATCACCTCAGATCAATAGCTGCTTTAACACTGTCGGGCCAGTGAGAACCAGGGCTAACAACAACGTGCCGTGCGGGGCCAATAACCTCGAGCCGCGAGGCCAAAATCAAGCTACGTATCCACTGTCGGGGCGCTGCACTACCCTAAAACTTGCCCTTAACACTCCATAGATCGACGTCACATTTCACCAGTTGACTGAAAACCAAGCATGACAGAAGCAAACGTTTGGCGTTTACTTAAAGACTTAAGACTCCACCATCAACCAATGATTTATGATAAAAATGTTAAAGGGACAGTAATTTATTAATTTCTGTCAGGAGTGCACATTAATCATTGTACCATATTTATTATTATTGCACACAAAAAGAGACCTACCGTTCCTACTTATTCAGTCGCGCCTGCTTCCATTTGTGTGATCAAATGAATGCATAAAACAACTCCATTAAGGCTTAAGTCCAAAAGCTAAAACATTTAGAAAAATATTGATAAAATATCATGTTTACGTCAAATTTCTTTCGAAAAAAATGAGAATTTTCCCACTAAATGATGCAATCCGAGGAGATTTGAGCAATCTCTCCCATCTCACAATACGGTTATCCTATCAGCCAGAGCAACAGAGGGAGCTCACGAGAACAAAGTTACATGAGTTAACCGGAGCATATCTAATCTATAACATTTGCGGATGCATAAGTACGGTATCAACAAATGCACAGGGAAGAGACCGATAAATACAAGATTATAATCCTATAAGCTTTGTCTAAGTTCTTCAAGCAGTCTGTGGGATTTTCCATATTTGTATTTATTATGACAGTGGTTAGCATAAGTAGCCTTTAGCACCACATATAAATATATTTCTGCCTATATTTAAAACTTCAGTTTTTTTTTCTCTCGCAAATAGCTGGTAGCCTGAAATGAACGCATGGAAAATGAGCAGCAGTGTTGACCCTCTCATAATTCATATAAACTCCGCCTTTGTTCATAACCACTCCTCAAGCCCCAGTTGGCCCGCTTTGGACAGAGGTATTCGGCGGGCCAAAAAACCATGGCCGTTGGCCCAGAGGAAGCCCCGATATTGACAGCGGTAATGCGACCGGACCTGGCACTCACTATAGCACGCACTGTCGCTTGGTTTTGGCCCGACAGTGGAAACGTGGCTAATGCAATCTAAACAATCTAAAAATGGTTTTGTGTTCTTTCCAGCCGTATCCCCACTTCATGCCTCGGAGAATCACAGGCAGACGCTACCGCTCTCAGCAGGCCGTACCTCCGCCTCCATACCACCCAAGTCTGCTGCCCTACTTCCTGTGAGTTACACATGCAAACATACACCAGAGTGTTGTTTTAGAGAAACAATGAGCTGTAGAAAATGTCACTGTTTTTCTCTTTGGTTTTTTTGGTGGTTCAGATCTGTTCTTCCAGTCCAGCCAACAGCAGTGGGTCCCGCCATTAGCTTAGAGCTGGATGTAGATGATGGAGAGGTTGAGAATTATGAGGTGCGAGTCTATTATCATCTCAGGAAACACTTTAGGAATACGTTTTAAGAATACTTTATTCTATTTTACATGTGTATTTGTTCTTATGTTTGACTAGGCTCTGTTAAACCTTGCCGAGCGTCTCGGAGAAGCGAAGCCTAGAGGTTTGACGAAAGCCGATATCGAACAGCTGCCTTCCTACAGATTCAACCCCAGCAACCATCAGTCTGAGCAGACTTTGTGAGTACAATACACAAACTTTAAACTTACTGACTGTTATTTATCTACTTTGTGACCTAAATGGAATATTTGTACTTCTAAAAAGAAAAAAAAGCCTTTTAAAATGCCTAAAATAGACACTTTTTCTTTGATTTGTTTAAAAAAATACATGAACAAAATCGTGATGTTGGAACAAGTTAATTAATAACATTATGTCTTCCCTCTTTCCCTACAGGTGTGTAGTGTGCATGTGCGATTTCGAGTCTCGTCAGCTGTTGAGAGTACTGCCCTGTAATCACGAATTCCATGCCAAGTGTGTCGATAAATGGCTCAAGGTAAGCAAGCATGCTGATTAATTCATTAATTTTATTTATTCATATTATTATTATTATTATTATAAAATAAAAAAATTGTGTTATTGTATTAATTGTTAAATATTTTTTGTTTTATACGGAGCCCCCCCAGTCCCACTTTGTCAAAAAAATGTATTATAACTATCTCGTGGCCTCAAGATAGTATATATTAAAATAATCTAACTCTGATCTAAATCAAGATCAAGATAGTAACTCATGGCCTCAAGATAGTAACTCGTGGCCTCAAGATAGTAACTCGTGGCCTTAAGATAGTAACTCGTGGGCTCAAGATAGTAACTCGTGGCCTCAAGATAGTAACTCGTGGCCTCAAGATAGTTTCTCGTGGCCTCAAGATAGTAACTCGAGTTTTATTATAGTAGATAGTAACTCGTGATAGTAACTCGTATAGTAGATAGTAACTCGTGATAGTAACTCGTGATAGTAACTCGCCTCAAGATAGTAACTCGTGGCCTCAAGATAGTAACTCGTGGCCTCAAGATAGTATCTCGTGGCCTCAAGATAGTATCTCGTGGCCTCAAGATAGTAACTCGTGGCCTCAAGATAGTAACTCGTGGCCTCAAGATAGTAACTCGTGGCCTCAAGATAGTAACTCGTGGCCTCAAGATAGTATCTCGTGGCCTCAAGATAGTATCTCGTGGCCTCAAGATAGTATCTCGTGGCCTCAAGATAGTATCTCGTGGCCTCAAGATAGTATCTCGTGGCCTCAAGATAGTATCTCGTGGCCTCAAGATAGTATCTCGTGGCCTCAAGATAGTATCTCGTGGCCTCAAGATAGTATCTCGTGGCCTCAAGATAGTATCTCGTGGCCTCAAGATAGTATCTCGTGGCCTCAAGATAGTATCTCTATCTTGAGGCCACGAGTTACTTATCTTGAGGCCACGAGATAGTTATAATACATTTTTTTGACAAAGTGGGACTAGGGGGGCTCCGTAGTTTTATTATAGAAGAAATAAAGTTGTTACGTTTTGATTGTGTTTTTTAGCGTTGCAATTTAGATCAGAGTTAGATTATTTTAATATATTGATTGACTGTTTGAGAACACTGTCTTAGGGTGTGGTCACATTTATTGTTGTTCAGCGAATTGTCATTTCAATAGGAATCCACAAAATCGTGAATTTCATGTGTGAGCAAAAGATTTCCCCATGCTGATTTCACAACCGATTCAAGTTGGTCACACGAATTTGCCGCATTGACCAACAGAAAGCTGCTAGTGTGACCGCACCCTCAGGCACATGCAGACTTGCCTAACTACAGCTTTTGCCCAGTTATGATCTATACGTTTCTTAGACCAATTTGACAATCCGTCCTCCTCTGTCTTCTAGGCTAACAGAACCTGTCCTATTTGTCGAGCTGATGCCTCTGAAGTCCAGCGGGATTCCGAGTGACCCTGCTCACCGAACACACACACACACACATACATGCACACCACTAAACACTTCTGTCATTCTCCTACCCTGTTACATTCAATTAACTTCCAAATGCTAAATTACTCCTCACACACAGATGACTGCTGCAAACGATTTTTGAGAACTTTGAATCAAAAACATTGTTTGATATTCATCTATGAATATCCAACTAACTGAGACACACACGCACACACACAAACACACATGTCCCGATGGTTGTTTGATCACTAATTCTTTTGAGTGGAAGTCCAAAGATTATGGTTCATATTATCATTCTGGTTATGTTTTGGTTCTGATATTGTTTTTTTGGTTTTTTAATATATAAATATATATAGTTTAGTTCTCCCCTTTGGGGGTGGGTGTTGGTATGTTGCAGTCTTGTGTGAATGAGTGTGTGTATGTGCACTAACATTCCCGGCTATGTGAGCACACCGTGGTGTGGTGGTCTTTACGAAGGTTAATGTTGTGATCATGGGCTTTTATATTTTACCAACAAATATAGCTATATATAAATATGTATGTATCAATATAGAGGGACAAATTACAAAATTCATAATTTTTTTTAATAGGAAAAAAAATTGTCTTCAAAAAATGGAACAAAAGATTGCATAAGATTCAAATTATATCTATACATAAAAGAGGGGCTTTTGGGTGGGTCTTGCTCAATTATGATTTAGCAGTTTTTATAGAATTGGAAAAATGTGAGGTGTGTGTGCTTTTGTGTGAAAGAGTGTGTGTATTAGAGAATCAGTTGTTTGTTATTTATCCCATATGTGTGGTACAGAACACTGGCTTGTCACTCTCACTTTTATTCTCGTCTGGGATTGGCTGAGGATGTGCACTGACATGACGTTATTGGTTTGGGGGGGCAGTGGAATATTCTCAAAGTTCTTAGATGTATCCTGCTGCAATTTATTTTCTTCAGGTTTTTTTTTTTTTTTTTTTTTGCCACCGGTCACATTTTTCTATAGTATTGCAATTTTCAAAACATAACCATTTAAATATGTATTCCTAATCCATATCCAGTCCTGCAGATTGATTGTGTAGACAAATTACCACTTTTCTCATTAAGCACTTAAGGCACCATAGTGTAATTTATTATTGTTTGATGGCTGCGTAGACCCAGATTAAATCCTGGTATTTGCCTTAAGTGATGATTCACCATCTTTTTAAGCCCAAGCTGAAGTTTAATTTTTGCCTAGGAAATTAGTTGTATGCCAGTTAACCCTGTAGCAGTGTTGCCCACAGTACTCATTAGCTCTAATTTTGAATTTGGGTCATTTGGTTTCGTATGCCTTTCATTTAGTAATCGGGGACTCAAGGGTATGTGTATACATGCCTTTTCGAAGAGGACCGTGGTTATATCGTAGCATTTGGGCTTCTTTAAAAAAAGAAAATGCACAGATTCTGCAGGACAACAGGGAGGGTAACACACACACACAGACCCCTTGTGAATTGTGGCGTTTAAAGTACCTTCCCTTCATTCCCAAAAGGCTCTCCTGGTCTTAGTAAATGGTTTAATTATTTTGTCTTTTCATTTGTCGTTTTGCTCTCTCACTGCCCTCTCTATACAGTTAGCTGTTCTTTTTTTTAAAACAGCCTTCCAGTGCACCCACTCATACAGCCTCCATAAGGCTGTTATAGCCATTCATAGCCATGTGCGTTACTTTATAATGAATGCCTGAGATGCGTCATGAACTAGATGGGTGTTTGTATGTGTATGATTGTTCTGTCATGCATTATCATTATGAATGGATATAACTGCCTCTGTTGTGCATTATGTAGGCTCTATGACTGGTGTAGAAAGTGTCATATGAATTCTGTAATGTAGTCTCAGAGCCTGCAGTGTCTTAATGAGAGATGCCTTTAAAACATTCTCCAGTGTTGTCCGCTTTAGTGTCATAAGTCGAAAAAATCATGGCGACCAGAAAATTATGAATCCTTTATTCTTTTCAAACAACAAATGTGCATTACCTTACTTAACTATTGTCATTCTGTGTTATAGGAGTTTTATTTCTCCCCTGCTTGGTACAATAGCAGTTACCTCAGTTTTACTATTTATGTTTTTTTTTTTTCCTTATTCTTTTGCAAAACCAATAAGAGAGCTTATGAATTCTCTTGCGTTTGTTTATTGGTTGTTTTAATTCTTACCATTAAAAATACAATTGTATCATTTAACATGTTGTAGTTTCATATGTATAATATCTGTAACCAAAATCATTTGAAGGCTTGATATAAAAAAATTTTAACAAACATTTGTACTTTTTTTTTTTTTTTTATGAGATATTACTAGTAATGCTTTTATTGCTTTACTTAGTAGCGCAATTCTTTTTCTTCTTCTCTGACCCCTATTCCCAGTCTTTTGGATTTCAAAGGGTGGCTCAGTAATAAATGTATACTTTTCTCTTCCTTGAACTTTTCTGTTTTTCCATTCTTATCTCCATTCTTCTCATCTCTTTATCTCTGTTGTCTTTATTCTCATGGTTAAAATCTTATGGGTTAAATGAATACTAAACCCCCTAAATGAAAATTGCCATTTACTCTCATCCTCATATTTTTCCACTTCCTGTATGAATTTATACTGTGGAACACAAAAGAAACATTTATAGCAGTATGTCCAAGCTGCAGTTTGCCATACCATTAGAGTGAAATCAGGATTAAAAGACTTGGTATATGGTGCAGGACTTGTGTTTGATTGGTCGACAAAAGCTAAAACTGCTTTATACAGATATTTTAATCCTGCATAAATTTAAGCAGAAGCGAAGATTGCAAAAAGTTTGTGGATTCTCATTAAAGGTGGCTTTGCAGCATTTAATTTACAGCAAACCAAAGTATCTCTGGTTGTGTCTGCAACGTTATTGAAACTTCAAGGGAAGTCTCAACAGTTGGTCAAACCTTGAAATGTCAGGGTTTAGAGAGCAATCCAATCCACTGCATCTCTCTACATGTATTAGCCATTATCTTTATATATATATATATACAAATACAGAACATGTCATTCACACAGTATGGACATACATTGTATGTTTTCTGAATTATATATGTAACTACTTAATCATACTGAATATGCTCTAAATTGTAAAGCGTTTTAAAAACTCATTGATATGATGCTTATTTGAGCTCGATCGGAAAAGTGCATCTTAGACCCTGAACGAAGTTGCACAACAATTTGAGATTTGCAACAATTGATTCTTTCTCTGTGGTAGCAACCTGTGATGCCAAAGCAAAGCCCCCAAACCAACAGCTGTTTATAGTTGCCTACCACTTTTTTCTTCGCAATGTGTCCGGGGCATGTGTCTGTATTGGTGTTGTCCTTGTTCTCTGATGAAGGAAGGAATGTTTGTTTACGGTCACACTAACTATACAACTATACTGTACTATTGCGATAAACATTGAATATTGACTGATGCTGTGACGTTCGTCAGAGTAACCTATGAGATTTGATACAATGATTACTTTTGTGGAAGAAATTTCGCTGGATTTCCAAAAGTTTGGTATCAGGGTTTTTTTGAGGCACTAGCAGGTAACCTTTGGCTTTAAAACGTATGAAATAAAGTGGAAAATAGAATGACTACTACGGTCCGAATGCATAGCCTACAATGTGCTACCTACCTGTCAACATAATAATTTCCATACCTCCACGCACCCTGTTTGCCCAGATATCATGTCATCAGCGCGTTCAGTAGGGTAGGCATATCAGCCTATGAAAAAAAAAAAAAAACCATCAGGCTAGAAGACAATCACCAAGTGCAACACTGCAGCCACTTTTTAAAGTTCTTCCTGTCAGCTCTTCGTCCACAGACTTTTATGCGATTCGCTGGCAATGGGGAAATTAATCTGCAGCAATCAAGTGGTTCAACTATAGAGCACTGTAAATTGTTTACCTTCATTAGTATTATGGTGTAATGTGCTTTAAGACATGAGGTAATTTAACGCTGTCTCGTGACACTTTGCAGAGGCTGCTGTCCGCGTTCATGTGAAGGGAGGGTGGGATCTTATGCTTTCAAGCTTGCTATTGCTACTAGCCTGTCCGAAATTGCCAACCCTACCTTTAAAGCCGCAGTCCGCAGTTTTTTCCTCTTTGTCGCCATCTCTGTTCGAAATCTGCAATTGCAGTTATTCGCAGAATTATCAACTTTACGTGACACGGCAGAGCGCGGATGAACACAATGAGGAGAGTGTTGCTGTCAGTCACCGCGCCGGTGTCGATACTGGCATTCAGAATCACAGATTATTCTTTTTGGAAGTATGACCACATTGACCAGCATAATAATTTTCACCGGAAAATGTCATCTGAACAAGTAAGTAGCATCCACTTTTGTTCTGGTTCTGACATTGCAGTAAATTGCGCTGATTAAATCTAAAAAACTCTGTTTTTGTATTTTAAAACTTTTTTTTCTTGGTTATGTGAACATTAGAGGAAACATTAAGGGAAAGTTCAACTTTATCCTTTTTATAACATTGGTGTTTGGTATTTCATAACAATATCATTAGGCAATACAATATTCATGACAGTAAATGGGTGCAGTAGATTATCCTTCCAGCAGGGGGCGTATGGCAACTAAGAGAAAAAAGGGGACTCGGATCAGGCAAAGCTGGAGTGCAATGACACCTATTGGTCATGCAATATAAGAATATCATATTTTCTGTCCTGGTCCTGGGGACACACAGCACTGCACATTTTGTACGCTTCTCCTATCTGACAGACACACTCGGTTCAGTTCATGGAGAAGCATTATCTTAATCAGGTGTGTTTTTAAATATGGGCAAATATGCAGTGCTGCTGTGGGACCACAAAACAACTGAAAAGCACTTTTCTATAATAGCCTACCTGAAGAAAGCTCCGTCAGCAGTCCTATTCACCTCAATAGCAGTTGCTAATAAATAAATAATTAGATAACAGCAAAACAAAACAAATAAAATCATTATAAAAACCTAAATGCTACTGTTGACTTAGCAACTTAAGTTCATTACCTTATTAAAATGTATTGTATAAGCCTGTCAGGCTCATTTATATTTAAAAGGCCTCACATTTGTTGTTATTTTTAAACTCTTGAAAATTGGAATGTAAACCATCACAAACTATATTGTGGAAGTGGTTGTGGGCAACATTAGCTGGAAAAGGATGCACTTTTTAAACCTCTATTGTCCTCACTGATTCAAGAATTATGTCAACATTAGAAATAAAACTGAGCTGGCCAACTGGTCTTTCAATAATCATATAACATAAGAATTGGTGGCAGGGGGTTTCAAACCCTCTTGACCAACATCAGCTCAAAAAATGGACTTTTCTTTCCCAATTTTTGCCTGAAAAGCTGATGTGCTTTACAAGTTCAATATAGAGGTGGATTTATATGTCAGCCTGTGGCAACTTTTATTCTGCTTAAAAACTCTTGAACGCTGGTGTCTAGCCTTATTATTTCTTCTGCTTCCCTATCCTGAGTTGATTGATCAGCACCATGACTCGTAAGTTGTAAAAAATTATTAAATCGACCTTTGAACTTTTTGGCCTAAAATCTAATTTTTGCTTATGTTTATTTGGCTGCAGATGAGCTGTACTAATATTTATCAAACATTCTGAACAAACCCTTAACATAAAGTATTAAACATCTGAAATTAATTCTGCCTGAACAATAATTGATCGACTTATAATTTCAGAATTAGGAATTCAATAAATCTTTGGGGTTTGCAAATGATATATTTTCTTACATTTATTTGTAGCCTATACTCTTCTTTTTTTTATAAGCTTAAAGCTGCAGTCACATGTATTATTGTTCAGTTTTAATATGAATCCGCACAATCAGGAATTTCCAAAAGATTTACACATGCAATTTCGTATAGCGGGGTTTGGTTGGTAAAGGATTTGATGTGTTAACTAACAGAAAGCTGCTGAAAGTGGCTTCAGTGTGAGCTGCCTCATGCATCAATATTGACAATAGACAATGGATATTTTTTGCCTGACAAAAGTGCAATTTCAAAAGTGGCACACAGGACCATGGTCAGAAATGAACCAGTGCTTGGGGCAAAAATACCAAAGACATTTATAATGTGGGGGGAGGAATATACCAAATATAACTGCATTCTGTAGATTTTTAAACTTGTTATATAATTATTTCATAATCCTTTCTAGGCCATGTATGCCTATTCTAGCAGTGTTTATTGTCTTGTGATGCATACATTATTTATGGCTGGTGCTGGTGTGGTGATTTTAGTTTTTAGGAAACAGCCCTAACTGTTCAGATGTATTTGTTTCAGTTAAATTATTCAAGGGTCAAGTATTTGACAGATTTATATGGTTAGATAAATCCTCATTAACCGTTTAATCCCACCGGTCACAATTGTGACCGCATCTTTTTTTCTTATTTCTGGAAGCTCTAAAAATGTTGTTATTGACTTTGGGGAAGAAATTCAACTTTTAAATGACAAAATAGATTGTCTTGATTAAAATAATCAAGTGTGAAAGGTCAGACCAGATCAGTTTAAATCCTGCTTGCACATCTAGAAGAAGATGTCTTCCTCAAACTACTACAAAAAGTAGTATGTAAAACATCTTAATTAACAGAACTATCATATGTTGTACATATATTCTTTAAAGGGTCTACTACTGATATATTTTGAGAATTATACTCCTGCATATATATTTTGCTCGTAAGACTTGTAAATGTGTTAACGGTCACAATTGTGACGGTATAACAGTATAATAGTGCTTCAATTGAAAACACAGGTATTGGCTGGTATTGGCAATCCTACACTGAACATATGCCACACCTGTGAGGGGGATGGATGATCTCGGCAAAGGAGAAGTGCTCACTAACACAGATTTAGACAGATTTTGAGATTTGTGAACAATATTTGAGAGAAATAGGCCTTTTGTGTACATAGAAAAGGTCTTAGATCTTTGAGTTCAGCTCATGAAAAATGGGGGCAAAAACAAAAGTGTTGCGTTTATAATTTTGTTTAGTATAGTTATCAGTATCCCAGAAACTTTCAATGTGTTGGACCTTCTAGACATACCTAACCCCCCCAGTCATTGAAAGTGACTGTGATAGTGATGGCTTAGATAGGGAGTCCCGTGGGTGAAAGTAGACCAGGTAGACTATTGAATGGCAATGCAAAGGTGAACTCTGGAGGATTAGGCAGATGTTCATGAGAACCAATTGGTGTGCCCTACACATGACCACAAACAACCCTTTCTACAACGTACGGCCCATCCTCAGTGCACTGAATGAGTGCACACACATCTCCCTGAAACTGGCCTAGGACAGGGCTCAAGTGAAGTCATGGTCTTGTCGAACAAGCAGAAGTTCCTCCAGGGTGTAACTTTGTACATGGGAGCCTTTTCAACTGACCAAGCCTCCTTCACGAAATGACAAAACGAGGTATTGGATGTCTTGGAATGAATTGTGTCAATAGGTCTAATTGAAGAATTTGTATGAATTCTGACTATGGCGTTTCCCACCGGTCACTATTGTGACCGAGTATAAAACCTAATATTTCACTAACTTAACCAACATAAAATCAAAAAAGGCATAATGTTTGAGTGTTAGGGAGGTCTAAGGAGTAAAATGCATGTACTCAAGTTGCAAGAAAAAAATTGGGATTAAACGGGTTAAGGTAAAAAATTACTCTGAAAATTAATTCTAGGGGACAAATAGCAATTGCATATTTCAGTTGTTGCTATCAGTCTTTGTCTCTGTACCTCTATACATGGGAAACTTTTAGAAAACTTTTCCCCTAAAACTTTAGAAACTTTTAGAATTGTGAATTTACTTAAATCGTGTGCAGCCATTCAAGCACTGGTATTTTCTTCAGGAAATGCAACTATAGGTTTAGGCTATAGGCCTACTTAATATTAATAAACTATTAATATAATACTTTGAGAGACAGAGAGACAAGAGGGAGAGAGTTGTTGATATAATATAATATAACATAATATAATATAATATAATATAATATAATATAATATAATATAATATAATATAATATAATATAATATAATATATAAAGAGAGAGAGTGGGAGAGATATCTGGCCGTAACTGGAGCGGTAACGGAACTCTATTGTTCTCGTTAAATTCCGTTCCCCCGCGCTCTCGCGCATGCCAGTCTCCCGTTCTCTAGGAGAAGAGACAGGGAGGCTGATGCGCTCGCCTTGCTGCCCCTAACGCATTGGCTCAACGTAGACCTCTGGTGTTTTTTTAGTTGATATTTTTAGCATCGGAGGTCGGTCGTATTGCATCGAGCGTGGTAGTTCGTGCAGTTCATCTGCAGTGCTGCTGAGCGCTGGAGAACCGCAGTGTGTTGCGCCGTGAACGCTCGAGCTCAGCATATTGAAGAACGTGTCCGCTTATTACGGCGAATGATCTGAAGTAAACACACAGGTCTGTTTGCGGAGCGCTGGATATCGCATCTAGGCTTTCAGTGGCCTCTTGCTAAGACGCTTTTTTGGGGGGTGAAATGGCCAGTCCTGGAAACGATTCGGCTTCAAATGCCCAGCTGGATCAGGGTGAATCTGCAGACGCTACCCCTGAACCAGCGTTTCAAGAAGCTCAGAAATGGATCGAGGTGAGTCTGCTGCACATATATGCGCACAGAAGTAAAGTAAACATTTCTTTCGCATCATTTTAATATTTGCTTCGACACTCATATAAAGAGGTTGCATTACGCTCTGAAGAGCTTATAAATATTGCACCGTTACCTGTTGTGAGTGCGCGAGCGTGTGTATCGTGTTTGGTTACAACAGCGGGCATTGGAGCCCAACAACGCGGGGATCATGTGCGCGGGATTCGGGTGCTGTAATCGGACTAGCGAGGCTTTGATGGCTCACCGAATTTTTCACTCACATGACAACCATCAGCCTCTTTAAATTTGTTGCCAGATTTGTCACTGTAGGTCACCTATCCATGAATGGACACTATTCGATACAAAACAGGACTCATTAAAAAAATATGCAGATACAGAAGGATGCACTCATATTCTGCGAACGGACACGTCCCCTTTATAAGCGATTCCAGTTGTTGTGGACGCCAAAGACACGCCCACTTGTCCTCTACAGACCACGCCCCTTTTCTAAGCGAGCGCAGTCGTCATGGCAGCGCACAGGCTCAATCAAACAGTTTGTTTACGGAGCATTTGTGGCATATACACTTATACACTAGTATACACTACTACGTGGCCTTCGTTTTATTTGACCTGATTAACTGTCAAGTGTAGCCTAACATGTGAATGCAGAACTACTTCATCCCCAGAGATGTTAAAGGTTTTAGATGTAGGTCTTGGTATTAATATTATGACCTATTTTAGGGGTCGAGGATTGGATAGGGAGCATCCTCACGTCACTGATCTAGATTTGAGTTTGAGTCGTGTGCATTAGATCAGGGGTTTTCAATCTTTTTAGATTGACCTCCAAATATGATCATCCTCACCTCATGTGTGGGACCCCCCCCCATCCTAAAATTGTAAAGGAATCTATATAACTTCTTGTATAAAGACCCTATTTATACTGTGAACAATTATTATAAATATTTCTATTTTATTAAATATAAATGTCTAAATTATGTAAATATGTATAAAATATTATTTGGGAAATATTTCGTTTTTTTAGGTTACATTATTACGTTTTTTTCTACTCATTATACTACTGTATTGTTGGATGTATTATGTAATTATTTTAATAAAATGTTTTTTTTTTTTTTTTTTTTATCTTATTTTTAATACCTATTTATTCTCAATTTTTTGTAGATAAATTGGGACCATCGGTATTTCCTTATGATGTTGGAATGTAGGCCTATGTGTTTCTTTGTTAGGTGTGTGTGATTACATTTAACAAATCCCACCAAAAGTGGTCTGTGTATACCATGCCATAACCCGTTCACGCTTTCTTCGGTCTGCTTTGCTAGCTATATGTCGATTTATCTGTCTTTTTTGTTCATGTGTTTCACTGGTAGGCCTATGTCAGTCACACGTTTTAGGACGATCAGTATAAATAGACAGGCTGAAATAGCCTAGCACCCTGCTGCTCGCAAATAGTTTCAACTGAATTGGCACAGAGAGAGACATGGTTCTGTCTCCTGCTAAAAATGCTCGTTCCTTAGTGAGTCACTGAAAGAGCTAGAAAATTACTGACCAAAGCATATGGTAGACTGAAACATGAACAGCAGACTGCGGTACAAATATTCAGACATGCTCTCTTGAGGCACATTCATAGAGTGAGCCTCTATTTATTGGTCAACGGAGATTGCGTTCTTGATAGTCGATGTCAATATTTAGAAAGCATGTTGGCCGATGAACAATATATATATATAATATTGATATATAAGCTGCATAATGTGACAAAAATGGCTGAAGTCAAGCAAACCCTTATTTTGCACAATATTGCTCAAAATTCACAAAAACATTGATGATCAGTAAGAAATAAGAAATTCCAAGATAATTAAATATTGTAAAATGTTTAAAATGCATTTTTCAAGTTCTTAGAAATGTTATCTTTGTATTATTTAATTAAAGTTGCAGTCCGCAGTTTTTCCTCTTTGTCGCCATCTCTGTTCGAAATCTGTCATTGCAGTTATTCGTGGAATTATCAACTTTACGTGAGTTGTACTTCGACACTGCACAGCGCGGATGAACACAATGTTTGAGGAGACTGTGCAGCTGTCAGTCACCGTGCTGGGGTGGATACTGGCATTCAGAATCACAGATTATTCTTTTTGGAAGTATGACCAACATAATAATTTTCACTGGAAAATGTCATCTGAACAAGTAAGGCACATCCACTTTTGTTCTGGTTCTGACATTGCAGTAAATCGCGCTGATTAAATCTAAAAATCGCTTATCATATCACGCAAAACAGTGAAAATTATATTTTGTTCTCAAATTGTTAATGTTAACAATGTCAGGATTGCGTGACTACATGTAATGTCCTTCCGATATGTATCCTTGTTTTCGCATGGGTCCGGTTGCAGTCTCTTTTTTTCTGTAGCCACTCCGAAGTCCGAACGAAGTCTTTTGCATTTTACAGCGGGTGAATCTGTTGTCACTGGTGATTGTCGTTTGAACCTTTCTGGATCCGCCATCAAATTGATAAGTTAAATTATATCAAGTGCTGTGAGAAAAGGCTATAAATCTCCACCTCCAACATCCTCACACTCATAGCCTACTAGCCGAGACTCCTTCTTAATGTGTACAGATGTGACGTAATGACGCAAAGACATGCTCGAATCTCCCGTGGAAATCCACCAGTACCACTGGAATTAAAAACATTATTACAAGCTTACCGCTTTGAATCGAGCTAAGGCAAGCAGATAGTTTTGAACACTGGCTGGTTATGTATTTTCTCAATTATGTATTTTGGATAATTTTAACCCCAAAAAAGCTACGGACTGCAGCTTTAAACTCTATGATGTTTATAAATCTAAATGTTGTTTATACAAATGATGTTTATACATCTAAATGTTTATAAAAGTAATTGAATTATTATTGATTATTTTCAAACTGAAAGTGTTGTTATTAATATTATTATTATTTTTCTATTCATGAATGAATAATTCAATAGGTTCACAGCCTGTTCTAATCTGGCCATGCCATAAAATGGTTAAAATATCTGATTTATAAAAAAAAAAAAAAATTGATGACCATGACAAACAGTCAAGAGTTTTTTCAGTGTTTTCCTCTTAATTATATAATTTCCTGTTTTTTTTTCTTCTTCAGGTTGGTTGTACCACATGACTTTGATTTGGTGGCTAAACGTTTTCCATAATAGTTTATTATTATTAAATAATTTACAATAATTTGCCAAAAATCAACAGCTTAATTGATCTACCCATATATCGGTCTGGCACTTCTTATCTGTATATAAGGATTGTTTTCAGACAAGAGTATTGTATGTCCTGCAGTCTTTGTTTTGAGGAGACCTCAACACCTCTCATAGGGCTCATAGGCGTGTGCTGGATGGGCCATGTGACACTGTACGGAAATTGTATGAGGAAACCCTCCCAGTGCACCTGTCAGTGGCTAGAGACGGACAGCAGCAACCACATCACATTACAGAAAGTCCTTCTCTGCCTTGGCCTATCATATTTCAAGTGCCATGGAGTTCCTCTCCCATTGACTATCAGCTTTCAGAGCACTTCTCTCTTTCTCTGCCTGTTTCTTTCCATCCTACCATTTGACCGCCACAGTCATAGAGTCACCATGGAGACCCTACGGTATAGTCCATGTCTCGTTGAATGCTTTTCAACTTTTGCTCAACTTTGAGTGCATCTTTCTGGCAGATCAAGAGTATGAGGTCAAGTGTGTGTGAGTGAAAGAGCTGCTACATTTGAGTACAGATGGCTCTGTCATTTGACCTCATAAAGCCAGCTGTCACAGCTGTGCAGTCACACACACGGACATACGGATTAAATGATACAGCTTACACCGTGAGAGAGATTTGGGCTGTCTACACTATTCACATTCATTTAATACAGTCCTCTCAGGAACACAGGGACTGAAATCACAGACTAAAAATGAGCTCTCCATTATTCCATTGGCTATGGTTTGCTTTCAAGTATTCAGGATCACCACACTAAGAGACACTATAAGCCAAATGACCTTCAGTCCTACTGTTTCTGTGTAAAATCAGCGTTGCCAACTTTTGAGTTCAGCTTGGAGTGAGAATTAGGGAGGGGGGGTTGGGTTATTGACACAAACTTCATGATTTGATTCATAAGCTTGCAATTCGATTTCAGTTTGACATCGATTCATTTAGATATCGATTCAATTATAATTATATATATAAACAGTCTGTTTCATGAATCTTTGTGGCTTATTAATTTTTTTTTTTTTTTAATTTGACATCATAGCTTGCGCTGTGTTCATGTTGTGTGCAAGAAACACTGACTCTTACAACATGGTGACTCTAACTTTTTGATGCATTTACACGCATTTTAGTCTCAACTCGGCGGTAATGTAGTGATACTTGTGTTACAGTACATTACCAGGACTGTTTCTGATTTGTACTGGTCTCTGATTAGCTTTTGATGAAGACACATTAATCCAATGCTCTCATCTCCAACACAATGTTCATGTTGTGCAAATGAGTCTTCTAGCTTATGTAAAGAAATTCAATTCTTTGTTTCCAGCATCAAAAGCTCTCCAGCTTCACCACCCACCCTTGAGAGCAAACACAATCCTCATGTATTTTGCAATCATTCAAACGCAGTGTTATATAACGCTGATTTTACTCATCTTGGAAAAAGCAGTCTTCCTGGTCGAGGAATAATCTGCAAGAGTCCATGGAACATTTAGCATAACTCCCATAATTCACTGCTGCGCTATATAGGAGAGGAGAAGAGATATATAAAGATATGGAAGAAATATTATGAGTTGTACGCTATTCTGATTTCAGCCACTGACAGTATGTGTGGCTGTCTCTGTCTGTATTTGTGTGTGAGTATGTGTGTGGTAGTTTTGGCTTCTGACCTCAAAAATGCTGCTGGTGTGGCTACATTTTGTTAGCAGTTGGTCCAGCTCTTTTTCTTTATGATATGACATTTTTAGTATGTAGTTAGTATATGGGAAACACTAAT